GGACACAATCCGGCTATTTACTCGGGTCACTTAAGATATGTCTCAGGTGCATTGCACAGATACGCCCACACAGGATAAAAATTCGATGAACCTTGTCAGACTTACAAATTATTCGTTTTTTGCTGAGTTTGAATGTAAAGATGGCAGCCACATCTTTTTTTATTCAAAAGTGGCCGCTAATTCATTAAAGTTGTTCGGTACTGATGATAAAAGTCCAAAAATGTATCCTTTTTTCTCAGTTCAGTTCAGTTTTGTTGAGAGAAAGATAGGCAAACGCCTTTGAGCTCCCTATTGGTGACATAGTGATTCAAAAATTCATCGATACAGTAGAAAAATCCAAACAGTGGTCGTTCACATGATTGCAGCCGAAAAAGTTAGCAGCCGTCAGCTAGTGGGAAATTAATAAATACATTTTATATTTCAGGCAGCTACTAGCTCATCACGAGTAGTATAATTTCATAATTATAGTATCTCGGCCCATAGGCGATGTCAATTAGAGGAGCCGTTAGGTGGGACAAAATAAAAATAGAGCAGACACTTCCGCTAGAGCTACAGTATATTTCCTGACTCGTGAAATGTTAATCGGATGTCTGAAGTGCGTTTTCTGTTCCAACAAATTACTTCAGAAGAGTTTTAAGTTTGAATATCATGCAACCTAATTTCAAGATATTTCTGCCACGACAGGGTGCCTGATTTCAAACGATCCGCATTCTGGTTGTGTGCAAGTACCCTACTTTGGTAATAATGGCTACTTAATTTGCGAGAATTTTTCTCCCTGATTTTTGATGCTTTATAAATTCAAATATATTTTATTACAAAAATATTTGAAAAAAACTATTATTTCTTGTGATAGACATTAGGCCTGCTGAACATTTCATACTTGAAGAAAGGATATTTTACTGTATTTTTAAAGTTAATAAATAGGAGATCTCCTATGATCGCGAAATGGCCATTCATACCACATTGTATTCGTAAATTTATTAATGTTGTCGACAAAGTATACAAAATGACCCATATCCACTGCAAAATTTTATGAGCAATTTTAAACGAGGGGGCACAGCTTAGTGGTCGCAAAACTTCTCGGTGCCAATAAATCCTACTGTCTGCGCTTGTCTTAAATTATCGATAACCGGTTGGAGCAGTTGTTTTTATAACAACGAGAGGATTTAGAGGAGACTTGGCAAAGTATAGTAAGCGATTGGAGTTTTTGAACCTTAAGACTGGGGCTGTTGCACACTTATTGGGCTAGATTAAAATGCAGGCAGTGACAGAGTCGAGGAGGATAACGGATTATTCTTCAAACTATGAGACGGTGTGGATTTCATGTAGCCGGGAATTTTCATGCTGCAGAGAGCGCCACGATATATTTCTCATCAGCGCGAGCCGTCTTTTCTTGAAGTATTTTCTTGTGTTGTTTAAAGCTAGCAATCTAATCAAGAATTGTCGGATCATTTGTATTGG